CCTCTGTGTGCATATACAATAGCCATATATGCGAATACTCACCTGTGTCCATACATGCAATAAATCGGGTAGAAAACCCAAATTGAAACAGCTCTATAGTCATATCCAAGTCCAGCAGTACGAGGTATTGGCTGAGTGACAGTCCTGGTAAGCTGGGCACACAGGCAGAACCGCCTGGCAAAGAAAGCCAGATGCTGAATGCACTGAGCAATATAAAATCTGGAAATGACACTTAAGCATCAGGACCGTATACGCATTACATCGACACACTTACCATAATGAACGCAACGTTTGTTGCAGCCTAGCTAAGGTGGGAGAAGAAGAGCGAAGGTGGTCTTGGACGGCTGTCCAAGACTCATTCAAGTCGGTAGCAACGCCAGGAGAGGCTATGAGGAGGTGGGTACGATGGCGGACACGCAAGGGAGATGGTAGGTTAGCCAAGCCTAGCACAGTTGCGTCGATAGCGAGGGGGCGGGCTAGTCAATGGCAGGCAAACAAAAGGGTCAAAAGATGGTACTCCAAACAATGGAATAGCAGAATATTGAAGGAACAGGGATTGAAAGAAAATTGAAAACTTACAGAAGCAGAAAAGCTGCAGCGACATTGTTGCAGCCGCATTCGAGCATACCAGGGCCCCCGTCCATCATCCCACATACCAGTATTAATAATGAGCCAGCTCCTGAGCGATCGAAGAGCCCCTTGGAGGGTGTCGCCAACGTCAAACGTTCTTAACGCTAGAGAGACATGTACGCCGTGAGACTAGACAACCAGAGTTCACGAGGAACATCGTAGACGAGACCGACAGGCACAGCGCCGTCCGGATTCTGTCCGAATTCACCAGGGTACTGCCGTCACGGCTCGGTCACCGTGCATTCGAACCTGCTCTCGTCGACTATGCAAACCGTTCCACCTGGCGGATCACTATTGATCTTTTGCTGGATATACGTCTTGCAGTCTTCTAGAAATATTCTAGGTTCAAGTTTCTCAAGAAATGCATGCGCTGACTGCCAGCACCTCCGGTAGAGCAAGTCATAGGTAAGTAACCGCGTTCTATACGTATCAGATGCATATCTAACATGGCAATTGTCTATGGATTCGGTTCTACTGCATGGACCTGTGACCTCTCATTGCGACTGGGTGAGTATATCTTCGACACCCGGCCACATACTCCTCTTCAGGCCGTCGGGCATCCTCCACACGTTTCTATATCATAGAGCGGACGGAATATGATGGGTGCTGGGTCTATGGATGGAAGTGAGTCCCTCTTGTGAGTTCTTTTTCATTTCTCACTTTGATATTCCCTCGTTGCCCCTTGTATTGCTTAGTTCTTCCCCGGTCTGGTCATGCATATGCAGGCAGTCCAGGCCCTGATATGTAAGCTCTTATTCTTTAGCATCCTTTATTACCTTTCCTTTCTTACATCTCATTGTTTTCCGCTGCTCCTCGGGCCTGATAGCACTCTCATTGCTTTGCGGCACTTCCAATGCAATAGGCTCACCAGCATCGCGCTTATGGCTGATCTTTGTGTCTCATGGGCACTGTAGTGCTACCAGAACCATTCTTTGTTGATTCCTGGATGTGAGAGCACTCTCCACTGCTGCTGCTATGCATTCTACAGCATGCATAATTGGACACAGGTGAGTATTCGCATATATGGCTATTGTATATGCACACAGAGGATTTCGAAACTGAGGTAACATATACTTGTAATATTCTATTAATTTATCGTATTTTTGATGCTGTATATGGTGGTGTGCGCCGCTGCCGTCGAAGGCACTGAGCACGGCATTCACAACGGCGACAACGCTCGATAGGAGCGTCTGAGTGACGGCGCGTATATGTCAGAACCATCAAACGATCTTTATGTATTTAATGCAATTTATTCCGTATTTTTACGACTACATGCAAGTGTTATAGCCGTGCTCATCGTCGGCAACGATGACGACGGACCTACAGCGAGCGGCGACGATGCGCCGGAGAGGCGGGACGCAGCGGCATACCTGCGATGCTGACACGTGGTGGCGGTCTGCCCTAGGGTTGGGGTCTGCTACCAGACTTCTACCCGGACCACGGCCGGGAGCGGCAACAGCATGGCGGTCGACGGAGGAGACAGCGAGGACAGGGTGTCGGGTAGCAGAGGGGGCGGGTCTTATTATACTAGTGTAGGCGGTGACACGTACTGGACCGGTGCTCGAGCGTTGAAGTCAGAGGGGGCGATGTGGGGTACGCAGGGGGGGCGTTCAGGTGGGGTGGCAAAATAAGGTTTTCGAGACCCCTTGGTCTCGCGTCTTAGGGCGTAGTCCCAAGTCTAAGGGCTCTCGCTTTTGGTGTCACTCGGGTGTCCTTTATCTTGAGGACCTGGCTTTTGACATCCTCAAGCCCCGTCATCTCCATTATGGCGTCAATTGTTGGGTTCGAGTCACCGTACAGCTCCTTCTGACGTTGCCAAGCCTGCTTGGCCGCAGATGGGGCAACGACCCAATGTCCATTGCCTATGCCAAGTGGCGACGTGGGGCTCGTCAGCGGAAGCAGCTCAGACATAGGCGCTGTTTAGAATTGAGCGCTGAAGCGGAACGTCACAGGAGAATTGGTGACCTGGGTGTCA